CGGCAAGGACGAGCCTGGAGCACTCCCGCCTCTCGCCCTCAACGCCAGGATTCTCGGATTAATCTTGGAACAAAATAAAACCAATGGAGTTGCTTTATTGTGATGATTTATACATTGTTGTTTATTAGTGCTGCTAATGCAAAGCAGTGTGGGTTTCCTTAAAATGATATTGCAGGATATCTTAAAGAATGCAGCCCAAAAATATACCTCACATCCTGACTAAACTGTTGACAAATCGCTGGGATAAAAGGAAGCTATTTGGCACAAGTTTTAATTACTTCCGAGGCTCATTCTTTTAAATCCTGCTAGTAAGTTTTTTTTTTTTCTTCACGGCTCTTTTCAATTTAATTCAAGGATTTTCTTTGCCTCTGTTACGGTGCTACAGACCAACATCAGTCAGAAACCTGGTTGTAGCCAAAAATAATGCCCTCAGAGTTGCTTCATCCACATGACGGTGAAAGAAAAAAGTGCTCTTTTTCAGTTGCACCTTTGCTGCAAACCTAAGGCTTGCTTTTCAGAACTACAGTGTGCTCCGGTAGTAGCAAAGTTTGGGACTTTTGGGTTATTTAAGTGAAAGGCATCGCCTTCCCCTTGGGGTTTAAAGGRGGTTTTGCGGCGTGTGAGCGGCCACGGCGCCTTGAGGCTGCCCTGCGGCCTGGGCGCCTGCGGCGGGGCCGCCCGCAAGCCCTCGGCCCAGCCCGAGCCCTCCCGCGGACCCCAGCGCTGCGGCTGCTCGTGGCCTCCGCTCTTGCCTTCAGTCAACATGTAGCGTTTGAGCACCCCAGACTCTCAGATAGTTTTCAAAAGCACATGCAACTCCCCCGGCTGCCTCTTTCTGCAGTGTGAGGTGCAGCCATGTTATAGGGCTGCAAAATCCTTTTTTTTTTTTTTTTTTTTTTTTAATTGTTTTAAGTTGCCAGTGTGTTTTAACTTGTCTGCCCCTCCTCCTCCTCCCTCAAATCCCCCCTTCTAGAAACAAAGACCTGTTTGTTCCTCGCCTGCCTGTGAGGTCTCGCAGCGCTGGCTCTGGTGGGTGCGGAGCCCCTTCCTTAAACACTTTCCCTGCCCAGGAGGGGAAGGAGCAGGCGCTTCAGAAAGCTGGGAAGTCGCAGCCCTACCAGATAAGCACAGCTCTACGCCCTTGAATTCCACATGTTTAAAAAGAGCTTAAGGAGACTCACAAAACCATGGGGTGTGAAACAGAAAAAGTGCTTGTTTAACACCTGAACTTTGGAGCACTGCCTGCAAGAGAGGGGTTWAAAAAGTCCCTTAGTCACTGGTTGTCCTTTTTATGAAATACTGTGTTGCAAATGAYAGAAAATGACATTCTCCTTTCTGCCTCCCTTGAAAATGACACGCTTGTGGAATCATCCATGMTGGCTAAAAATCATTCAGTTATCAATACTTTATTTATTCATTTATCTCCCCCACTGGTTCTTCACCTGGSTTTGTTAAGCCAGTAAAATGGAGTGATCAGTGCCTTTTTTTTCCTAATTTCTAGACTTGTATAATTTCCATGTTAAAAGTATCCTCCCTAATTCCCATCTCAAAGATTTGTTCCGAGACCAGCTTAGAGTCATGTCAATTGGAAGTCTCTGGGACTTGCATTCCTAAAATATTAAAATGCTTTTTAAAAAAATCCTTTTAATAGATATGTGAATCAATGTAGAAATTATATCTTAGATCCAGCTTCTGAAGAGTAACAAAGAAATTCATATATAATCATTTAATTGAGCTGTCTCTGCGTATTTATTGGTAAATATGAAGTATACATCAAACTCTCAGTATCTTGTAATCTTTTAGATGCACTTTTAGTTACAAGCAATACTTTCAAAATGCACATTGTGTTTCGTGGGTCTAGGATGGTGGAGTAATAGGCAGTGTCAGACAAACATGTTTTTTACATTTCAAGTTGTAAAATCAGTAGATGGGAAGAATGGAGTTAATTTTATGATTGGCGAAGAGGATAGAAACGATACAAGCAGTTGTTGGGAAGATACATGCAGATACATATAATAATAATAGGTCATGAGAGAAATATTCCTGAAGCTGTGTGTCAGTTAGACGTGTTGAACGCCTGTTGATGACACACGTGTGTTTATGAAGTTCTGAACTGCTGAATTTACACGAGGTTCGTCTGTAATGTGACGGGGCTCAGCAACTGGAGGCATCGCCTCTGGAAGCCCCGTGTGCAACTGAGACTACACAGCTAAAGACGGGGTTTCAACCGAATGAAAACTGAAAATCTTCGGATTTGGTACTTTATTTATAAGTTGAGTGGTTTGCTTTAAACTTAAATGAGYGTGGGTGTTGCTTGTTGGGGTGTTTTTGTTTTGTTTTTAGGTGATTTCATAGGTAGTTGTAGTTTTCTAACCTTTGTCCCCTTTTACTTTCAACTGTAATTGACCTTCTCTTGTGTTTAATGACAGGGTTTGAGTCCTGCAACTGCTGAGGTGCAGCCTAGACTTCTGCTTCGTTCAGCGGGATGGCTGCCAGTTAGCAGCAGAAGGCTGCTGGGCTTTGTCGTCCCCTCTCACCCTTCCATTTTTTGCTTTCAGGAGGAGAGGATAGGATGCAGAAAGCAAAAGATGGATGTGGTCCATCTGGATGTGGTCAGTTTCTGGGCAGAAGGAGCAAATCCATTCCCCCTTCAGCAGTGTCACATCTAGCCCCTGAGAGAGCTGCTAGCTGGGCAGCTGCCCTTCGTTTTTGCACCGCTATCTCCTCCTTAAACTTGGTCCTGCTGTCAGTCTCCCAGCACCGGTTGCCCAAAAGACGTCCTTGTTTTACTGTTCACCGGTCATGTCCTTGCACAGCCCCTGTTGAAACTTCTGCCTAGCAGTTCCTGTAACTTGGGCCTCACGAGCCCCTGTGTCCTGTTCAGCGGGCGAATGAGCTGTCCTGCCTCTGGTTCTTGCTGGCCTAAGACTCATGGTTCATGTTGAGGACTCGGGTGGTTGGCTGATGCTCGTCACTTTGTTCCTGGAGTCCAATATTGATGATGAAGTGCTGGATGTCTTCTAAGAACAATTTTAAGCATTATTCACAGCTCCTTCCGCTTACCACAGTTATTTTTTTGTTCCTTTGGGATCAGACTTCCAGTTGGAGTCGACCCTCCTGCCCCAAGTGTTCATTCTGTTGCTTCTGCTTGGCACTGGGATCCTTTTCCTACTGGTTCCCACTTCGTCTATTCACCTGCCTTGCTGGAAATCATATCCTACTTGTCATATGTACAAAGCTCTCTCAAGTAACTACATAAAAGATGACTTCTTTAGGTGTATGACTCTTCATTTTATTTTGACTTTAGACTCATGAAGTTAGGACTATGTTTAGTCTAGACTGTTGACTCTGTGCCCAATCTGTAGAATGGTTAAAAGTGTAAACTGGAGAGTTAAGTTGTCACTGTTTTTGGTTGGGATTTTTTATTTTCCCTTTCCATTCTCACTGCAGCAAGTAAAACAGTGTTTCTTCTTCATATGTTACCTCTTAATGGGAAGATGGGGCTGGTGAACAGTTGTGCCAAAGGAAAGGAAGCAAGACTGTGAGGCTACAGTGCTTTTTACTGCTTTTTATGAGATGGTTAAATCTATGTAGAATTTCTTGGAGCACAAGAAAGGCACGTCTGTACTTTACAGGCTGTTAGTGGAGCACACAAAGTTGAGTTAAAGGAAAAGGGTGATACAGATTCTTTACAAGATAATGCTTCTTGCTTACATTAATTAAAAATGTTAGTGTTCTAGGAATCCTATTATATGATGAATTCATTCAAACTAAGACAACAGATGTGTTTTTTATACCAAAACAGCCCATTATGCTAAAAGAAGCTCATTGCTTTTCCTCTTACTTCCCATAAACCMTAATCCCCATTCCCAGAAAAAAAAAAAATCCCTACCACTCTCTCATTACCGCACCAGCAAATATGTTTTGCAACATGTTCTAAGTGTTAGCAGATTCAGGCTGTTCCAGAGAACAGGATGGGGAGCTGATTCTAGGATTGAAAGCCCCTGAAAATAATGGCCATCCTTCCTTCTCTTCTTCCTTCCTTCTTTCTTTCCTTCCCTTCTTCCCTCCATCCTTCCTCATTCAGCTTTTTCCAACCCTCTGTTCTTCTTCAGGGACCCCAGTGCCTCTGCTGACCTGCAGCACACTGATCTCTTGTGAGGGAAAAATCAGGTCTGTTGGGTAGTTACGTCTCAATTATGCATTATTTTATGAAACGGAATATACCTTAGATCTTGCTTCTGTGGAAAAAGGGGAGATGAGTTCTCATTATGCATTCGTTATATAGGAAGAAGCTTTATCTTTCCACCCCAGAAGAGATTTGCTGCGTAACTTGCAGGAGAGACRGAGGGGTGAAAATGCATCAGCAAAACATGTGCCATATGCTCACGGCAATATTGCTGCCTGGGTTATTTACCTGCCATTTCTACCATCCCTAATTTTTCATCTCATGCTGTTCCAAGTGAAGTTGTTGGTCACACTCAAAGCTTGATAGGAAAGCATTGSAAGCGTTTGTTGCATGAGCTGCAGCACAGATGGTGGAATGTGGCGTAGCTGGATGCAGCGGGCACGGTTGCTGTGGTATTTGAGGGTTACAGAGCTTGAGGATACTAAGAATTCACCTGAGTAAGAAAAGTGATTTTTTTTCTTTTTTTGCACTTGAGTCAAGAAAAGTATATTAAAAAGAAGAGGAGAGAATTAATCATTCTAATTACACTTCAAATATTTTATCACTACTTTGATTTTTTTTTTTTAACCATCTTGCAAGTTTGGTGCTTTTCAGAAGCTGGAGCATATACTCTTTAATCCGAGACTCTTGCACTGACTATGAACAGAACATTTCCCATTYTCTGAACATCCATGCATAGTTACATGTTTTGTATTGTCATAGCTTGTAAGGTGTTATAATTTTTTTAATATAAGCTATCTAAGCATAATACTTTGTTCACAGGGATTTGTCTGAACTTAATTTTAAAACGTTTATTGTTTTGGTCCCTCAGCCATGAACCAGCGGATCAGCCAAAGCGCCCCAGTGAAGCAGCCGCCCCCGCTGGCCCCACAGAGCCCCCAGGGGGGTGTGATGAGTGGGAGCAGCTCCAACCAGCAGCAGCAGATGAGACTTCAGCAGCTGCAGATGGAGAAGGAAAGACTGAGACTGAAGCATCAAGAACTGCTTCGGCAGGTGAGGCCGCAGGTTAGACACCTACTTCCACTATTTTTTTACGTTTTTTGCTCTGGTTAAGTTGTTGTTCCGGTATGCATTAAAAACTAGTCACTGTACAAAAGGCTTTGAGATGTGAAAAAGTCCAATTATTTTCTGTTGTTGGTATCAGCTTGGTAGTGAAAGTGTCTGATTTATCGGACAAAAGCGTTTTGCTTTCCTCCCTCATTCCTCTCTAACAAAAATCTCCAAGAGCAGGCTGCCTTGCTAGTAGGATGACATCATGGACTGTTGTTCTGATTGGAGATTCCTCTTGAGAATATATCTCACATTCATGGAGTTCTGAGTCATGCAAAAAGGCAGAAAGTTTGGTTCCCACAGCTGCTTTAGTTCTGCCTTTGAAGTGCAGGCAAGTCTTTCACTTTCCAAATGTGTCACAGTCTGCAGGATTCCAAAGTATTTTTCAAGTTTGTATGTGATGCATTGAGGAGACACCTTGTTAACTAAAATCTCATCTGATTAACAGTGGAGTATGGAACAACTGAATCACACTGGATTTTGAACCTGTGGTTTTCTTGTTATGAGGAATTTCAAACTTCATAATTAGGCTGTAAACTCTTCTTTTTAGCATTTTACTAGTACATGAATATATCCATAGTGAGTGGCAGAATGTAGGGCTGGACATTGGGATTTCTAGAGTTTCTGTTCCAGCTCTAACTTCTTATTGACTTTACTTAAACCCTCTGCTTCATTAGAAGAGGTTTTTACCATCTGTGCCAGGTGCTTAGGATATTCTTTATTTTCAACACTGCCAGAGAAAGCACTAATCTTTTATTTTAGGAAAATGAACTTTGGAAAATCTTACTCTGTTCCCTCTTCACTTTGGGTGATGGGCTTTTTATCAGGAGAGGAGACATCTTCAAAGACAACTTTTTTCTCTTTTCATCACCTGCAGTATTCTGTCCTGGAATCTGCCTCCCGTTATCCTTTTTGCACTCCAGGTCTGTGTTTAGGAATCTGTAGCATCTCTTCATGTAAGATGGGTCATCTTTAAAACCCAATACTGCCTATAGTACTCTAAATAAAAACACATTGCAAAAATGGCGTCAGGACTTTCGCTCTCTGCTTAAGCACCTGGGCTTCTGCTATTCCTGCTTTGCTATTAATCCACCAACAAATGTTTTACACTCTGCTAGCATGCTTCTAGGTAGGCCTTCTAATTTTCTTCTTGCTTCATTTGTCATTGAGAAACCTGACTAACCTGGACAAGGTGACAGCCAGTTCCCTTCATGTTGTTCTCCCTGGCAGTTGAGCTTTTCTGTCCGTACTCATCCTTAGTAAATCTGCAAGTTTTGTTTCCCTGTTCCATGATTTTTATTTATATATTTATTTATTTTGTAGTCTCTCAACTCCCTTATCCTGTCTCATCTGGCTTGTCTTGGGGACTTTATACTACAAGATGGTGTTTATAAGACAGCCTGCACAGCCAAACTATGCAGCTAAAGTAATCTTTATCCATCTTATTTTTTACTCTTAGGCATTGCGGAATATCAATCCCAGCACAGCAAATTCTCCAAAACATCAGGTAGGCTCTTAACTGATGTTTCAGCATAATTAGAAAAAAATGGAAGCATTAAATCAGGCTAGCAGAGGAACTTTGTTACATTAAAAAAAAAAAAAAAGAAAAAAGCATTCCAGAAACAAACTCTGTCATACACGTTTCTGAACCACGTCTCTGGTCATGACCCTAACATTTGTTTTTGAGTGCAGCATTACCACAGCTTTATATCAATATTTAAAAGCAAATGAGGAATTCATTGCACGTTTTTCTGCATTGAAAACAACATTCTTGTTTAGCATTCTTGTGGATACTGCTGTTCCAGCTCTGATGTCATCAAGATGTGTATTTAAAGCAAACCTTCCATTACATCTAAGGTAGTAGTTTGTGACTTTTAAGTACTGTTCATATGAATGTTCTTATCAGTTTGTTTAAACAGGTATGATCTTAAAAGATATCTGCAAATCAGTCAATAAAAAAATCACTTAAAGTATTTATGATTTTTTTCTTGAAGCATGTGAAATGTAACAAATATTTAAGAGGTTAGACTAAAGAATACTTGCTAAGGAGATATAACTTRTAGTCATTCTGTTTTGAAATTTAACAAGATCCTGCATAGATGCATTTTCTGTGTTGGAAACACTTTTTAGCAGTCTTAGCAGCTCAGAGCAAAAGAGAAATGGTCAGAATGTAAAGCGCAGTAGGAAGTTKAATGTGCATTTCTCTTCGGTTCTTAAGAAATTGAGTATTGATTGTATCCCTGAAAGGGTGAATTTACGTATATATTTAGAGATTTTCTTGCTTCTTGCTGCTACTGATGTTCTTTACCTACTCTTGTTTTGTTGCCGTGAGTACTGTTGTATCAAGTTCCTCTGTGAAATAGTGCAGAAGTTGTACATGACTAGTTTGGAGAAGGTGGTCTTTAGAAATATGAACATCAAACTTCAGGAATAGTATTGGCAACCTGAAAAAAAATACAGTCCCATTTGGCAATATCAGGACAACTCTAAAACTTAAAAAACTTTAACAAAGATGCAGTCAGCAACCAGCTACTCGATTCATTTACAGAGCATTAGCTGGGTAATGCTGTCATCAGTCAGTATTAGATTCTATTACACAGGAGGAGGAAAACAYTATTAAGAATTGCTGGTATATAAAGATATATAGAGAGAAGTGCAGTTCACATCACCTTATCCTCTATCACAACTGAGTTATTCAGAAGGGATGCTTTTCTACTGACTGCAAAAACCCRCATTATATTCCATGTTTCCTCGTATATCTGAAGCTCTGTCATCTCTCTGCTCCTGCTTTCATTGTGACTTCTATTCCTGTTGACAACTGAGAAATACACAGCAAATAATAGAAATCTTTAGTATCAATTACAGATTTAACTTTGAAAGATCACAGTTTTGGAATTACTTGGAGTCTTAAAGCACTATAAAGTTGAAAAAAATCAAGGGATCGTCTTATAGAGTGAAATTGTAGGCAGTGATGCTTGTGCAGTATCACTAGACATGTATGCAGTAGTCTCCCATGGGTGGTTGTTTGGGGTGAAAACTAGTAAAAAGACATACACAAAGTTCAGGTTTCCAATTATATTTAAATTGACTTTGTCCGGCTTGATTTATACTCACCTGACTGGGTTTTATTAGTCTGCAGCCACTAATTAAGTCACTAATTAACTTGTGTTTGAGTGATCTGACTGATAGAAAAGTATGCAACTGTGTCAGCTTCAAAGGTTTATTTTACAGAATTATTCATGTATGATTATCATCTGCTTTACTTCTGTACTTTCCTGAACTACTTTATTGAAGTGGTGATCAGCCATATATGAAAGAAGATGCTTAGAGAGCTGCCTTTAAAATTTGTTCTCTGGATGCTTCTTGAGGCCTTATGACATAGTTTGGTCTCAGTTGTCTTCTGTAATGATATTATTTTTTAAGTCTAAATATGTACATCAGATTCAGGTCATAGTCAACCTAGTGAATCTGGAAACATCTGTAGATAGAAATAAAGCTTCTTTGGTCAGACTTTTCTTCTTGTTAGATCCTTTCCTTCCTTTGATAATAATTTATGCAGTTGAGAGAAATGATCTGTTTTATCCGATAATGCACTTGTGTTTGTAGGACAAGTAATGGCTTCTCTTGGCAACTTGTGGAGGTGTTAAGGAATGATAAAAATCTTCAAGAAATGTTCGATGGGATGATATTGTCTTACTTTTGTAAAGTAAATAAATCATCAAATACCAGAATTCTTAAAGCTCACTTCTCATGAAGCCTTTCTTTTGTGTAGATGAATACTGAAAGACTTTCCTTAGCCTTTCAATGGGATCTCTGAAATTCTCTTAGTCGTAGAATTTAGTGGCTTGGAAGGGAGCAGGAGGCGTCCCCTAGTCCAACATCCTTCATCTAGTCCGTCTTCCTCTTTCTTCTTGATGTGTTTTAACGTGTACTTGGATTTGAGGCCAGCAATATGTTCATATTTCTGGTCATTTTCCTTGGTGCTGGGCAAACACTGTGTCCTGGCCAGGTTTTACTCTTTCTTTTGTGATACTGTAATATCTCTTTGGTGTTACTAACACTGAAAGAGGTATGAGTTCACGCAGACCTTTCCTCCTTGAAATATTAATCAGTTGCTCAGCTTCATTTTTTATAGTAAGTCTGATGGAAGACTCTTGTTTTAATGAGGACATATGTTCTCATAATTAGAGAAAATGTCTAAATCAGAGGTATTTGAARCAAAAATTGCCACTTTCATATTTAGTGTGTGTGGCAGCTACAAACTACAAAACTTTTGACTACTGATGCATCTAGGGAGTTTGGAAAGGAAACATCTGCTTCCTTATGCTTATCAGCATCATGAATTATTTATGTCATCTTAAAGTTGCATACTTACTCAATTGAGACTTACCCAGTTGAGACTTACCCTTTACCAACCTGTTGTCAAAAAAAAACAAAACTCTAAATTCTGCTTAAGTCAGCTGTTACATAAATGTCAAACTTGGCTGGTTGTTGGGTAACCATCTTTTGCAGCAGGATTGTTGATAGCATCTCTGATAGAGATGCAAATAATGTTGAAGTGACTTATTTGACCTGCTTATATGGCATTATTCTCAGGTGTTATGCAGGCTGTTTCCTTGTGTCTTTGGGATCAAGCTGCAACTGTCTTTTGTTTGTTTGTTTTTGCTTAATTTCTCTTAACTGGACTGCAGCTGATAATGGCCCATTTGCTAGTTTGTGCACCCAGTCTGTAGCTCCTTTGTATATGTTTGCCCTTTGAGTATCTGCTCTTTTCCTCTGGCACTGTAATAAGGACCTTGTCTTACAGAGCCMGGTGCCATCCTACTTCTTCCTTGTCCCCCTGCCTGGTTCTGCTTTATGCTTCACCTTCCTGTTATCTCTGGGCCACTGTCTTTGTGGTTGTGCATAGCTGGAATGTGTAGATTTAAAATTTGATTTTACAAAAGTAATAGAATACTTTTCTGATTCGCTATAYTGTTCCCCTCTGGTTTGTTTCTCATCAACAGGGAAGACTTTCCAGATAAGATATGCAAAGACATGTGACCACTCACTTCCTATCTGCTGAGTCATTTCTTTTTGTTGCCTCTTTATTCTTAACTAGCTAAGTTAGTTATAAGCACTTTCAGTGATAAATAATTAATGTCTTTGAAAGATTATTTCAGTTTCCTGTRATTTTTATTAAGTTTGTTTTAACTGATATTTGTCATCTTTAATCAATTTAAATCAAAGTCTTTAATCAACAATGAGGCAGATTTTTTTCAGTGGTAAGATAAATCTTGAGRTAGAAGGGAAGATATTAATTTCACAGGATACTCTTATTAAATCAGTAAACTGTTCTTGGTCACTTTGTGCATACTCGGGGTAAAGCTATTTTGCCATCAGATTTGTGACATTCTTTTCGGGAGAAAGTAAGGATGGCAGCATTAAAAGCAAGTGCTCAAATTCTGCAGGCACCTTCTGTGGTGCTAGTGAAGTTAGTATTATTGCAGACTTAGGGATTTTGTYCCCCTAACATCATTATACATCATTAGAAAAATAAGAGGAACTAGTAGCATAAATATATATATGTGATAAATCAGCATTATTTTGCAGATTTATAGCTTCTTTCATTGGGGGATGAGCTGGAGTGTGGTACTACTTTGGCATATGAAGGTATTTCATAATTTAAAGAAGGATCCAGACTGTATACAGGAATGTTGGTGCATTTCAGGTGACTGCTGTGCCTGTCATATACTTTATTTTTTTCATAACTAATCATACCTTTTTTTCACAACTCAGTCCAAATGGTATCAGTGATCACTTTTACTGGTAATGAATCCCTAATAGGGTTGTCCCTCCACTCTCCTCCTTCCTCTCCACATGTTATCTGAAGCTGACCTAGATTAAGGAGATAAAAGTGATCTGCAGCTTGTTTTCACCAAGTTGTTATATGCATGTCTGTTTTGGGGGTTGTTTTTGTTTTTTAAGCACAGATAACTAAACCCAGTCATTTAACCAGTCATTTTAAACATAGCTCTTTTTTTTTTTTTTTTTTTTTTTTTTGGACTTAATATCCAGAGACATTTTTTAATAATTATATTTACAGAGTTCAAGAGGAAAACAAGTCACACAGTAAATTCTGTACCTGCATTGTGTCCCATGGTTTCCTCTTGCTTGATTGTTTGGTGTCTGATAGGGACAGTGGTCTGCAATATGTCTTATCCCAAAAGAGATCTGSCACGTACAAAGTCCTGAGAAGAGCTAGATAAGATGCACTGAACAATCCTTCCAACAAGAGTTTTCCATTTAACTTTGCTCTTGATTGAAGTTTTGTTTTTCTACTAACACAAATAACATCCAACTCTTCTGATTTTAGTGATTACTGTATCTTTATTTCTCTTTTCTTCTATTCACTTGTTAGCTCCTTTTATTAATAGCAAGCCTTAACTGTTCTGTTTTAGTGTTGCTTTTGCACARTAAACAAAAATTGTAACCCACTTCTTACTCTCCAGAACCAGTACTGAAATG